CCCCCCCTACTAAGACTCTTAGATAAGAGCAGTCTCCTATAATATGAATCAACCTTTCCCCAGAAGTCGAGAATTAATCTTCTAAAGCACTAATAGGGTATCGAGAAGGTCATTCATTGCAACTGCTAATCCTTCAGTATTGAAAGCAGCACATCAATCAAAGAATAGACCACTAGCAATAGTATGCAAGAACGTAGTCCGAACAAGGGGAAAGGCGACCCGCTTCGCTGAAGACTAGGAATCGACGCAGATATCATTGGTATAAATATACCGAATCAGTCTTCCGCTATGACTATGCTTTCTTTGGTAGCATGATCTTTTTGCCTTTTGGAATAAGATGAATGTGTGTGATTACATTAGCACCAAAATAATGAAAGTCGACTGCTTTCTTCCCGGCAGCTAAGGGGCGTAGCGATTTATGGAGTTTTGTTAAGCTTAACTGTGAGGCCATTAGTAGTGCACGAGCTTCGAAAGAAAGAGAGATCGAGTCACTAAGCAGAGACTTAGATCCGAGAGCGAAAGAGATTCTTATAGTTCTCCCACGGGGCAACCCAGCCTTTGAAATAAGTTCTCAAATCAATCTATTCGAGCCCTTGAAAGTAGTATAATTTCATGTGTGAAGCATAGTGAGAGTGACACGGATCTCCTTTTTTTCAAATAGGGAAAGCAAATCCTAATCATCAGGTAAGACGGGTAGAATACGAAACTGCCTAAAAAAATAAAACTGTATCAACAAGAGCAATCGTAGCTTAAACACCGAGATGCCACTCGTGGCACACTGACTAGAAATCATCTGCGAGAAGGTCTTCTGGCACAGGCATACTACTAATCGATTCTTTGGTCATTCATGATCGAATACAACCTAAGAAGAGTTGTACGCCTACATAACTTACCTCCCAGACCAAGGAAGGAAAGTCTCAGATCTATGAAGTTCTTGACCCCTTTTGTTAAACATGTTCCTGCATGCAGAATCTACTGCATTCTGTAAAGTAGTCTGGGGGATGGGGCCCTCCTCACCACTCCCCATCCCCTTTCTCACGAAAGCAACCAAAATACAGGTTACTCGCTATGAGAAAGGCCTTCCTTTCAGTACGTGAAAGAAGTCCCTCTCTTTCATTATCTTACTTCGGTACCTCTCTCGCCAAAAACATAAGGGCCTTCAAGCCAAGCCTTCTCCCGAACATATCAAACTATCTATCGGGGGTGGTGGAGCTGTTGTCCGGCATATATCCCCCGATTTATTCCCATCTATCACTAGTCGATCCAAAGCACCCCTTTTCCATTCATAGAGAGATCCAATCGTCAAAATCAATAAAAAGGCCATCATGGATCAAAATCTAAAAGTTATATTTTCTTTTTCGTTCGGGGATCTTTTGTATTAGTACCCTATTCTCTTCTACCATGAGATTCCCTTGAATTTTCTATGAAGGAAAATAAACTAAGGAAGAAGAGAAGCAAATCAAAGCCTTCTATCCACTTAGATATCCATTTGAGATGAGGAAAATACGATAGAAGATAGAAGTGTAGAATAAAAAGGGAACTATAGCTTGCCTTTCGTGGGGCAATATAAAAAGTTGCAATCCCCATATAAAGATTATATGTCCTAAAACTAAAATTGATAACCCGAACAAGTCCAATGCAGTCCATTTACCTGGCAATCCAGTCATTAGATTCATGATGAAATAAATAAAGAAAGAGAGTCGAAAAGCTAAATGACTTCTTTTTTTCATGCATAAAAAAATAATGCTGGCCCCCGACAAGAGGACAACTAGCTT